TGTGTGGACGTGTCCAGGCTTAATTCGGTTTAACGCTGCTAAAGTCGACCTAAACCTGTAGTGTAGACCAGGCCCCAGACTCATCAGTTCGCATACCGGCGGGGCTGATGGAGCATTTCGCATGTGCAGAGCAGATAAACTCCGGAATTAGCTGTCTCTTTAAACCAAGCTCCTCTCCGTTCGGCTTGGTGCTAGGCATCATGGTGCCATCTCTCAGCGTCTGGTGTTTGCCCAAGTGGCCTTGGCTGGTATTTGAGATATTGTGGCCTAGTGGTTAGAGCAGGGACTGAGCGGCAGGACTCTTGAGTACTAATCTCGACTTCAACAGTCACTTGCTGCATGACCTTGGGCAACTCACTTAATCTGTCCGGAAAAGGGGTGGGGAGGTATCATGATACCTTGCTCCCCTGACGACTAGATGGGATAGAACCTGGGGCTTCCCTCTCATTCTAGGGTCCCCTCATCAGGGCTTCGCTCTTCCCGGGCTCAAGGGATCTCAAAACATGCTTAACAAAGCAAGGGTGTGAACCAGCATGGCCGTTGCTTAACCCACTGCAGCCTTGAGCACCAAAAGTTAGAGTCGGCTATTGATTCATATTAATGGCATGGGTCGCCGCACCTCCTGGCCCTCAGGGAAATCTGGTTTGGTACCCGATACCTCAGTGAGGGTGGCAGGATCTGGTCTATCCCTTCATCACCTTTGATTTAAACAGGGCAAATAACATGGTGACGGAAGGCTTGGTGGATTTCATCCTGTCCATCCCATTCTTAAGCTGGTCTTGTCTATCTGAAATGTTAGGAGACAGACATAAGAACCTGTCAGGTTCCATCAGCCTAGGATATGGTTTCCAGGGCTCTGTCCACTCCCAGACGTTTCTACCACTTCCCCTGCAGAGATGGTTCCATGTTACGAACTCTTCCCAATATAACTCAGAAGCAGCTTCTGTAGTTCCTCACACGTATAGAATTGGACAGAAATAAACATTCATGGTTTTTTGGGTTGGTTATTTTTTTTGTTTACTTTTTTCTCCCCCTAAGTCCTGAAATTTCATAGAAACATCAAAATCCCACCCCGCGATCTAGAACTGGACAAATTTACAGATTTAATCCAAATTTTGTTTGGGTAGAATATTGAAATTTTGACCCCAAAAGCCCTTGGTTGAAAGTTGGATCATTTTGACCAGCTCTACCCCATTCTCTTATGAAGCTGCAGCAGCCACCGTGTCTGCTCTTGTCCCTTCCTGTTGTCTTTTGCTCTTCATCACTGTTGTTGGATTTGGTGCCTTCAGTGTAGCAGTCTTGTAAGGAACGCCCTGCGGCAGTTGGCAGTGTCAGTAGTGATAATCTCTGGTGAAGCTAAGCTCCTGGGTGAATGGCTTTGTACAGGTTGGACCTCCTAGCACTGGTTTCTCCTTTCTTTACTTTTCTGCGTTACCTTTTAGGTGTTGAGAAGCCAAATGAGATGCCCCCAGTGATGCCGGCAGCACTCCCTTCCCTGAGCGACCTCCCCTTGATCGCACCTTGAGATGTCCTCCCTGAGTCCCCTGGCCAACGGAACAACGCTGGACCATGAAGTCCCCCAGTGCTGTGATCTGCAGGGAGAAGCCGGCTCTGAATGTTTACCCTTATGGCTCTGAACAGGATGGCTGGGAAGAGGCCAGGGATGAGGACGTGAACTCAGCCCAGATCAACTGCACCATAAACCACCTGGAGCAAGCTGGTAAGGGAGAATGGATGTTGATCCAAGAAGCTGAAACCTATTATTGTAGACACTAGACATGGGCAAAGTTGTTAGATCCTCTAGCCTCACCCCTTTCCAGCCCAAGCTGTTCCCTAGAGACTATTCTCCAGGGCTCTGTCCAGGCCAAGTCTTAGATATCCCTAGAAACAGCTTCCCTTGGTTCTGGTCATTTGCTTTCCAGCCAACCAGATCTCAGGGTCAGGAGACAAGCCAAAAGCAGCTAGTGATTTTTGGGCGTCCGGCTTGAGACCCCTTAAATGTGTCTGATTTCCAGAGGGCAAGTGCTCAGCGCTTCTCTAGGGCTTCTGATGCAACCTCAGTCATGCTCTGAGAACTGCACACACACAACTTGTCAGGAGCCTCAGCAGCTAGATCACTGACTGGCTGGGTCACGGAGACCTGAATTCCCTTCTCCTCCTTAGAAGCTTTCCTCTGGGTCAGAAAACATGCGCCGGGCAGCATGGCCTCACCCTGGGTTAAACAGGGGCCATCAGTCTCCGGGGATGTCAATCTGGCAACTCATTACTCTCATTAAATCCCAACGCGTCAGTTTGCACCAGCAGGGATAGACCCCTAGAGCTGCCTTTGCTGCTGGAGAAATCTGCACCAGGGGACAGGGAAATGGGCCTCTGTTATTTGAATCTTGCGATGGCCCCCACCCTAGGGGTCAGGGTCCCACTGCACTCAGAGCCCTGAAGAGCTCTCAGACAATAGACAACAGGTAGAGAAAGCAAACAGCTGGGGGGAACATGGGGAAGCAATGAGGCGATACTGGTCAGCATGAAAACATCCGTCACAGCACACCAGCTGCCTACCCATTGGCCTTCTACCTCTGCCCCTTCTATTCCCTTGTCCCGCAGCTCCCCTGGAAGTCTCTTGCATGGGACAGCCATCCTGCTCCTTCCACCTTGGCTCTTCCCCTCTCTGTGTCCCCCAGGGCCAGCTTTGTTGGGTGAAGCGGTAGGGCTGACCTGCGTGTGACGGTGCTTTCTCTCTTGGTCAGGTTGGTACTGGGGTCCCCTCACAGCAGCAGAGGCCAGACGCGTTCTCTGCCCTGCCCTGGAAGGCTCCTTCCTGATGCGCGACAGTTCCAGCCCAGACAACCTGCTCACCCTGTCGGTCAAAACCTCTGTCGGGCCCACCCACATCCGGATCTGCTACAGCGCCGGCCGCTTCGGCTTCGACTCGTCCGTCCTGGCCAAGCCCAAGCTTCAGAGCTTCAAGGACGCCATGGCCTTGGTCCAGTTCTACTCCCTGGCCTCGCTGAAGCAAGCCGAACGGCTGGGGCCGTCGGAGCAGGAGACCACGTCCGTGTCCAAGGATCCGGCCATCCACCTGAAACTGATCAAGCCCCTGTATGTCTCTGTGCCGGCTTTGCAGCACCTGTGCAGGCTAACTATCAACAGGAGCACTCGGCAGGTCTCGGCCCTGCCCTTGCCTGTGAGGCTCAAGGACTACCTGCTGAAGTACCCATACGTGCTCTGAGAGTCCCCCCCCCCCCGCCACCTTACTCACCTTTCCATCCTACCCTGGCAAAACATGGTGCTCTCCCTGCAACCCACGCTGATCCAGCACCAGCACTGATGGCCTCCAAAGGGTCCCTGGCGTTGCTCAGCTGGAGAGCTGCAGTACGTGGCCTCGGGGTCAGGTACAAGTGTGAGGAACTGAGCGAAAGGCAGGGATCTCCGGAGCTCAGATCGAAGCAGGCCGGGGGCAGAAAGCGTGTTTGTTTTTTGTTTTTTTTTCAGGCTCTGTCTGGCTCTGTCGTCCCTAGCTAGGGCCGCTAATAAAAATTCATTGTACTATTGCTTGTTCTCCCCTTGCTACATCTTTGCACTGTCTTCTGCTTGCTTCACTGAATATCCCTTGGACAGGGCTTCCGTTCTTGCTGTTAGGGGGAGAGTATGGGTTAGTTTGGGTAGGGTTTGATGCTGTTTCTTTAATATAACCAAGTCCTGATGCACATCTGGGGCTGGGATTTTTTTTTTCGAGAAGCAACTGATGATTTTTTAGGGCCCAACTTGAGACACCATAAATGGGCCAGATATAGGGTGGGTGCTCGGTGCTGCCTGGAAATCAGGCCCCTTTTAAGGGGTCTCCAGCTGTGCACCCAGAATCACTGGTCACTATGGGAAAATCTTGACCTGGGTTTCCCCAGCGTGGACTAGATCTCCAGGCATCTCTATGGTGGAAGCAGCTCGGGCTAAAACACACTGAAGCTCACCCTGTGATGCTCTTTACACCCCAGCAATTGCTCCACTGGGAGTTTAAAAAGCTCACCTAGGAAAAGGATTGTTTGGCTGGCTTCTCTGGAAGATGTCCGAGTGAAACAGGCAGACTCCTTTCTCTAGCAGCATGTGGTTCTTTGTTCCAGTGTTTTGCTAGTTGCATGAGGCCCAAGTAAAACCAAGCTCAACTGCTGCAGCTAACACAGGCTCCCCTTCCCAGAAGCAGTTCTTGGTCTGTCCACAGCGCACAGCCAGATTTATACTGGTGCATCCGGAGAAAACCTTCCCCACTCCCATAAGGCCTTGGCTGTTCCTACCACAAGGAGGATGGTGGGTGGCTTCTCCCACACATGGTGCAATGTCCTTGGGAGGTAGGAGGACTGGCTCACCCCAGTTCCACAGACCCTGTCAGCCCCTTCTCCACAAGTCCTGCATTACAACCCTGACAGTTTTGTAGCCCTGCTTAGAAACATGATTGAGCTGTGATTCCTATTCATGTGGGAGTGGCGGGGGTGTGTGTGTGTGTGTGAGGGGGTGGGGGTGTATTACTCATGTTGTGTGTGGAATCTACCATGTTCCCAAGGCAGGATGAAATTCACCCCTGTGCAGAGGGCCAGCACAAAGACTAAGTGCTCATGTACCCTGCACAGGGCTGAACTTCCTGGTCAGTAACCTCTAGGCCCAGACGTGTGGGCATAATTACTGCATTTGGGATAAGAGTCTGTGCGTTTTTGCAGCTGGGTCATTCTATTAAAAAAAAAATTGGGAGCAGTAGCTTAGATGGTCCCTACCTCAAACTCTGCTGCTTTCCTCAACTGGGGCTCGGAACAAGTGCCTGTAAAACAACTGACATTCTCCTGTTTCCTTTTAAACAAACAAACGGTGCTAACATGGATTCACAACCTTGTGAGGCGTGTGTGTGTGCGTCCAAGCCTAGCATGCGTGGGGTTTTAATCACAACCTCATGGGGCTTGTGTGTGTCCAAGCCTAGCATGCGTGGGGTTTTAATCACAACCTCATGGGGCTTGTGTGTGTCCAAGCCTAGCATGCGTGGGGTTTTAATCACAACCTCATGGGCTTGTGTGTGTCCAAGCCTAGCATGCGTGGGGTTTTAATCACAACCTCGTGGGGCTTGTGTGTGTGTGTGTGTGTGTGTC